CAACACCTCAACATGTTCATGAACTGCTGGTCCAAACCCGACCCATCAGAGCTGGACCACACAAGGACCACCCACCACATAGAGACTGCTGCTCTACAACCTGCTATCCTGAATCAGATGACACCTGTCAGCCATCACCTGACCTATGCTGGCCCTGAGAGCATCCTCATCATCATCGTGCTGGACAGAACAGAACTGCATCAGACATTTGCACCTCCTGTCAGGGCTGAGGGATCAAGAAACAGATAGAAGGTAAGAAAATATTTCTCTTTTTTCAAAAGCAACACTTACAGGATAAAGTTATGTTTTTTTTTACATTGTCTTTGTGCAGACACTCCTCTCCTGTGGGTCCTTCACGTCAAAGCTGAGACTCAAACATCCACAGAAAGCTGAGTCAGTTTTTACAAACATCTGGCTTTAAAACTGCTCTGGACAGGAGATGGTTGTGTTTCCTGCAGCACTTCTGAAGGTATTTGATCACAGTACATCAATTATTCAACATCTTTAACTTTGACATTAATGTACGTTTACTTTCTGTTTCAGACAAACACCTTCTTCTTCATGCCTGCATGTCTTCCTCTGTGCCTCCACAAGAAGACTGTGTGTGACCTGTGGACTGGATGAGCACAGATCAGTCCAGCTGCAGCAGAGAAACATCACTGTCTGTTTTCAGTCAATCTGTCTCCTGTGTGCATCATCAGGTCTTCTTAACACAACTCAAAGGTAACAGTTGTACTCATCTCATTTGTTAAAATAAAACAACAGTTTGATTAACGTTTCACCTGTTTGTCTTTAAGGCCTGTGCTCAACATTCATGAGTCCAGCATGATTGAGGAAACAGCAGCTCCTGGTGATCACACTTCACATTTAAAGTCAGACTGCAGATTCAGCTCTGCTTACCTGATTCAACACACACACACACACACACACACACACACACACACACACACACATGCATGCACGCACATACACATACACACACCCCACTGAACCGTGAACAGAACGAAGGACTCTGAACAGCTCAACACTTGTTTAAAAACATCACCCATTTTTACAAATGTCTCAAAGATATTGTTTAATTTTGTTTCATAAAACTGTTATTTCATTTCGTTCATCTTTTAAGTTTTACTGCTGAAGACTGTAGTTGAAACAAAATAATATTCAGTTAGAATATAAATGTCAGTTTGAGCAGTGACAAGTGTATTGTTTAAGGCAGGACTCACACAAACAGCCTGCATTAAAGACTCATGG